TGAGTGTGGCTCTTCCACAAAATACCGACTGCGCATGGGCCACGAAGTTTCAATCGCACTGTACGTGCGCGCCCACACGTGGTATTTTGTGGAAGAGCCACACTCAAGGGGCCAAAGAGCCGCATGTGGCTCGCAAGCCGCAGTTTGCCGACCACTGGTCTAAGGGAAAAGAGGTCAGTGCCCATGACTAAATAGTCAGTTATTGCATGCTTTAAGAATTCTTGTGGCACACCGGTTTAAAATCGCTGCCATATACTAAGCACTATTTTAACACTTACAGATGGATTATCCCATTTAATCTTTACCAGTGCTGAGGTACTTTTGAGTGTTTCCATTTTATGGTTAAAGAAACTGACATACAGGTATGTGCCTATGTTATCACTGGTAGAAAGTGGGGGAGGTGGGATTTGAGTTGGACTCCAGACTTCTGGGCAGAGTGTTAGGGGGGTGGTTCCATCCTAGGGGAGGAGAGTGATGAGTTTCGTCTCAGATGAGATGGTATAAGGCACATTGGGGAGCATGAGGAATTTAAAACTGTAATTACCAGATTTTGTTGCACAGCCTGGTCATCAAATTCAGATTCCCGGGCCTGTTATTAGCACTTGTTGCCGTACAGCAGATCCACAGACCAGCACCTGCAGAGCCCCCATCCTAGAGCATGGCACACTTGCCATTGTGCCCAAGTGGAGGTCAGAACATGGAAGCCTTCGATTTCATATTAAGGAGACGTTTATAGTTAGGCATGTCCATCTCTTTGCCTCTGATGAGTGCATATGGGCTTTCAGAAGCCTCTAAAGAAAGAAGTGGTTCTATGAACATCCTTGGGTGGTAAGACAGCTAAGGAGTCAGGTGATTGGAGGATGAGCTGATATTAAAGTTCACGGGATTGTGAGGCCTTTGGGAGGGAGCCTCTTCTGGGCCAGGAGAGGGAATCGGGTTCACTAGCCATATTCAGCATGTTGACTGAGAGTGGAGAAAGGTGTTTTGGGTAGAATATTTGCTGTATCCATCCCTGAGTCTGCCATGGAGGAAGTATATGTACATACTGCGAGAAGGAAAGTGTATTAAAACACTTACACACCAAAAAACTAACGAAATGGACCCAAGCAATTCTGCCATCCCCGCCAACCTCTCATCTCTTATACGTGTTCCAAGCACTTCAAGGGTCCTACTCATATATTGAAAAAGGAGCTATTCTATTTAAGGTCAATAGGAAGCCTTCACAGAGGAGGTAATACCTGCCTATTCAGAATTTTAAATAGTGCATAGAACTTTGCAAAATGTGTAGATTTGCAGGTATAGATATAGCATATGAAAGAGGTATGGGGCTATCAAACAGTTGTTTGCCTTGGGAACAATAATTAACAGTGAGCTAAAGTGCGTGAAGGATGTGGGTAGAATGTTTGGCACAGTTTGAACTTGAGCCTGGAGTGAGTACATAGGAACGCCTACGTTGCAGGAAATATATATGAGGTATGTTGCTTGGCACATAATTGCTGTTTACATCACTAGTACTGTTATTATTGTTGTTAGACCGAGACCGGGCTGTGTTTATGGCACCATAAGAAACTTAGACTTTATCCTGTTGAGGATGTGGCTTTATATACCAAATTTGGATTTCACTGCTACATGGAGACTGGGCTGAGGGATTTGTTCAGAGGGTTGCAGTAATCCAGGCAAGAAATATTATAATGAAGGTCTGAACCAGGGCAAAGGCAGTGAGGATGGAAGAGTGTATTAGTCAGTTCTGGCTGCTATAACAAAATAACCATAGACTGCCTGGCTTAAAAAAACAGACATTTATTTTCTCATGGTTCAGGAGGATGGGAAGCCCAACATCAGGGTGCCAGCAGATTTGGCAATAATGATTCCCATTTTGTGATATGCCAGAAAATTGGAAAATAGGTTCATTTACAAAATAATCATGTATAACAAGAGTGGTATATCAGAGATCTAGGTTTGTATGTGGTGTTGAGGTTAAACTTTCTACTTTTTTTTTTACTGACATTTTGTCATTTTGAGTGTGATAGAGGGATATCTTACTGATAAAGGCATTTCCTGCCTTTCATCTCATTGTGTTTTTATTTCTCTGCTCCTGCAGTGCTACCTAAATATATGTACTTGGCCTCTTATCCGATACCTGCTTGTCAATATTTGCTGATATTTTAAATAGTTGGGGCAATAGTTTCTGGGTTGTTGGCATGTAAGACATGCAGTGTCTGAGAGGTGCCTTTTGGAGAGCTATTTTGAGGTATGATCTCCAGAAACATTGCATCAACACTTGTTCAGATAAATTTCCCTTGTTTGGGTGTGTCTCATTTTACTCCTTCGTTATATGGGTGTTAGGCGTATTCTGTACTTTTTTCTTTTTATTAAAGCGTAATATTCAGAAATTTGCACATACGCATTTTCACAAAGTGAACATAGCTATAAAAACAACCTATATCACTAGACTTTTTAACAAGTTTATTGATGTCATTTGGGAGAAAAATGAAGCCATGTGAATCTGCTGTGTATAAAGGAAAATGTGACCTTTAAACTTTTCCTTTTACTTTCATATCAACTTACTTCCTGTTATATACTGATTTAAGAAGTAACTAATCATTCAACTAGTCTTATCTCACATGTCAGTGCTGTACATATAATGCTGATGCTTTTTTGAAATGAAAATTATTGACCTGAGAAACACGTTCTAACTATGCTTGTTAAGAAAGTGTTTGAAGAAAGTGTAGTAAAGGAGGAAGTTGTTCATATCTGGTTGCTGTTAAGAGAAATCATCTAAAACTTGGTAATCAAAGAAATATACAGCATGTTCTTTCAATGCCTTGTTGGGGGTACTGTTTAATCAGCCCACCCTCAGGATATTAATTCTAATTCTTGTGTTCCACTTTCTATTTATTATTGGGTTAAAGCCCAGGACTGGCAAGCTACCTATTCACTTACAGATTTTTCTTCAGTAGATAGACAACTCTAAAGCCTGTGATTTTATTACTGTGGAGGACATTAACCAGTTTGTTTTTTTTAAATAACCTGCCAGCCTTATTCTAACACTAAAAGAGAAATAGATAGGTAGGTAGGTAGGTAGGTAGGTAGGTAGATAGATAGATAGATAGATAGATAGATAGCTTTTTCTGATGGAACTGTGTAAGCCCGTTCCACAAATGATCTTGGAACTAACTTTACCATCTTATTGGTTCCTTTATAAACAAGTCAAATAACATTTTTGACACAAGTTCATTTTATAGTCCTGTGAGAGTCATTTTGCCTTGTTGAAAATCATTATTTGATGCTACCACAGCATTTCTGTCCTGTCCCTTCATGCTCTACCTAGGAGTCAACTTTCCAGGGCATCGCAGTAATGCACAAAGATTCCAAACTCTCAGTGGGTGAAAGTAATTCTAAAAATAATGTCATAGTTTATAATGTAAAACTAGGTTCTAACTACTAAAATTTCCTAATAAATTAATTTGTTTTTCTAGGCTGGAGCACATAAAGCACTCAGTATGGAGAAAATACCATTTTGAGACATTTTTCTGTTGCCGGTGAGAGAGGAAGAACCAATACAGAAGCGCACCCTGCTGTATGTGTGTCTCATTGTACTGCTTTTTATAAAGCAGCTTAGTGATGAAGCCACCATTATGTCCTCAGTCAGTGAAGTAAATGTCGATATCAAAGATTTCCTCATGAGCATTAATTTGGAGCAGTATGTCTCACATTTCCGGGAGTTTGGTTTTCATACCGTGAAGGACTGTGCAGCCATAGATGACAGCGTGCTACACAAAATTGGAATATCACCTACAGGACACCGGAGGAGGATCATTAAACAGTTACAGATAATCTTGTCAAAAATGCAAGATATCCCAATATATGCAAATATTCATAAAATAAAGAAGAATGATGAGACTTCGAAGGGTCACCCCGCTCCATCTTCTGGCCAGGATACCTGCATAGAACTGTCAGATTCATCTGGCGTTCAGACACCTAGCCCGGCGCACTTGGAGACTGTTACAAAACATCTCGATCAAAGTGACATTGGTGTGGAAAATAGCCAGTGTCTTAAATCAGATGATGAGCTCTCTCTTCCTAAACACAGCTTTCCCATTCATGAAGAAGGACACCATCTGAAATTCGGTTCTTTTCAAGATTCTTTATTGGGTAGTGAAAATATTCAAATAGAATCTTTGATTGCAAAGGAGACTGTGGATTGTACAACTAAAGAACAACAAACAGAAAAAGTCGATTTGAACTCAGAAGATGTGAACAAGCTTCCGAATGTAGACCCTGACCGCCTTCCTTCCCTTGGCTGTTCAGTATCAGAAGCCAATTCTGGACATGGAACGAATGGTTTATTAGAAAGGTCACCACCATCCCCTCTCTTTAACTTTCAAGGACAAATGGTTATAAATGATTTGTATGTTCCATCATCACCATTCCTAACACCTATGAGAAGTCGTAGCAAGTTGGTTTCAAGGCCATCTCGATCTTTTCTGCTAAGACATCGGCCCGTACCAGAGATTCCAGGGTCAACAAAAGGAATTTCAGGGAGGTAAGAACTTTCATGATAAGTTGTAAGTGTATTCAATTTGGAGGAATTTAATTATTTTAAACAATTACATTTTCAGTGTTTAATTTTTCCTAAATTTGACTTCTGTTAATTTACCTATTTAACTAACCTTTTCTTCTCTTTTAAAACTTTTTTCGTTATGCCATCTCTCTTGAACATTATTCCCCAGAGTCTGTTTCCAACTCATAACTGCCTGGAACTCTTTCGCTTTCGCCTACTTAATCTCTTTCTTTTATCTGGCTATTCCTTCCCAGACCTTTCGTCCGCACCTGGTTTTGCATTCTTCCATGAGTGCTATTTTCATATTTGAATTGCTGACTCTGTCTCCCCACTAAATTATTTGTTCTTTGGCAGGAGCCATGTTTCTAATGTTTGTACTTCTGCTTCCTGGTACAATGCTTGGCATGAATTAATAATTCAACAGACATCTAATGAATACCTACTTGGTACTCTTGGTCACTGTGCTAGGTGTGAAGGAGGTGGTATTTAAAAACAAAATCCAGCCAAGTAAATTTGAAGATCTAATTGGCTTTGCTCAATGATTAATGAATCGGGTAGCATCCCATCTAGCAAATAGAAAGGAGCTCTGAGGAGCTGTACACAATGGAAGACTTTTCTAGGCAGATGGAGGCAGGGGGAGGATGATATTCTAGCAAAGAATGGATTGTTTCAGGCAAGGTCACGTTCCTTGGGGAGTGAAGTCGGGGCTGTCTTACAGATTGCCTTACTAGCGTTGCACAGATAATTCTATATTATCCAGCTAAAGGTTTCATTCCAGGGAGAGACTGAAAGTGCTGTTGGGTTAGGTTTTGTGGAGCTTAGCACGGGTGACTCCATTTTGAGTCTGTTGTTTCTTTTCTTTTTTTAACAATATAGAGGAATAATGGAGTTTGAAGTGTGGTGTGGGAGACAGATGTGAAATGATGGTAACAGTACAGTATGAAACCAGGTCCACCAGAGATGGGAACTCAAAAGAGGGGCCTGACCAGAGCGTCTGGTCATCGGTAGCATGAGGTAATTGCAGAGTCTGAGATGAGCCGACTTACAGCAGAGAGAGCTTTTATCTGTTTCTCAAAGCCAACACCTAAAATAGTCGTGGTTTTCCTCTAGTGTTGCGGTGGAATATTTTTTCACTTAAAGCTAACACTTGTCTCTCTGCCGGGAGCCATGAGGCTGTTCACGTTTGGCTGTTACTGATGTGATACTGAAAGCTATGACCGGTTTCTTGCACTGGCTGGAGGCTGGCATTTCTGCAAGATTCCCCCTCCCACGTGCCCCCCACCCCCATCTACTCTGTGCCCTTGCTCTCTGGGACCTTTGGTAATTACAGCCTGAAATGGTGGTTGTATTTGCAAGAGAAAACATGGAGATTTAATATTTGCAAGAGAAAACATGGCAATTCATAAGACTGTTAATTTCAGTAACTCCCATTAGAGCAGCCACTCTTTGAGGGCAGAGGCTCTCATTTGTTTGTCTCCCTTGGTATCCCTAGTGCCCATAGCAGTGTGTAGTATTTATTAGGAAATCAGTAATAATAGTGTCATTTATTAGGTGCTACATTGCCTATAATTTTCCATGGGTTATCTAATTCTCACAATGGCCCTGTGAAGTAGGTAATATTCGTCCATTTTGTTCCAAGGTAACTGAGTCTTCTGAGGTTAATTTTCCTAGGATCCCAAGGATAGTGAACTGGATTTCATTCCAGTAAATCTGACTTGTGTATAGAGGTATACCTTAGGAATATCGCAGGTTCATTTCCAGACCACCCCAATAGAGTGAGTCAAATTCTTTTTGTTGCTGAAGGGTCTTGCCTTCAATTTGTAAAAAGAAAAAGTAAAAGAAAGGCAACATCTGTGGAGCAGAAAAAGCTAAGTGCGATACAATGAGGTATGCCTGTATAAGAATTGGGATATAGCTCAAGAACATAGAAGAAGACTAATTTGGGTATGACCCGTTAGCTTTAAAAATATTTTGCTAATTTGAAACAAAGTAACCTGAGAAGGGCTGCTGTGACTGTGCACATTAAAATTGCATCTTTGCCAGAACAAAATCCTTTTGGGAGCCATCAAGGTACCTTCAGATAAGAAACATTTGGCTTAAGTTTTAAATAAGATGTGCTAGTTTTCATAACTTGGAAGGCTTGTTATTCCCCTTATGACCACGAGTTCTTGAAAATGAGAATTGAAATAACATTAAAATTGGCAGAAAATAACTTGGTAGCTGCATTACAGCCAGACTACCTGTTGTAACCTTTCTTTTCTTCTTTGATTACAGCAGTAAGGGTAGTTACTCATTCGTGGTGCTTAAATCATAAAAGAGAAAGTAACTAAGTTATTTTCGGACTTTACTGTTTATTTTTACTTGTGGTCCTCACCAGAGTTGCAAATAGTAATTGCAAATTTAAAAAAAATATTACAATTTGACATTTAAAATAAAAATGTGGATTCTGTAAACTGAGATTCTCTCCAATCAAATAACATCTAAATGATATTTAGTACATTCCTTGATGTATCAAATAAGAACATTTTTTGTGGCCAATGCTTTCACCTAATTTCTTTACTAATTAAACTTTTCATATAACTGTTATAAGGAATATGATGCTAGAAGTGCTTTTCTGAGGTGAAGCCCTTTGGGCCCCACCCCTTTATCTACACACTTGAATCTCCAGTCACAGGGATGGTTTTCCCTCTGCCTTGGGCATTTTACATGAGTTCCTGTCCTTTTCTCTGGACAGTTGGGCTGGGTGGTGCTGTGCTGAACAAGGAATCACAAGATCTCTTGTAAACGTCTACCTCTTGAGGGAGGGGTTAGCACGAGGCTGGAAGAGCCAGTTTCTTCCTTACTACCTTCACTTGGAGCTCTTCCTAGTGCTGGAGAAACCTCCAAGCAGAAAGCCAGTCCAACCAGCTGTCATTTCCTCTGGAGCCATAGGTGTGTCCTGTGTTCCTTATGGGAAGATCCTCCATAGTGCTCTAGGCAAGAAGGAACAGGTAAATTTCTTATCCTCCCCAGTTGAATGATTTCATACATCTTTCATGCAATTATTTTTTTCTTGACACAAGTCAAAGAGCCCTCCCTTTTAGGTGTTTTGCCTCTGAATTTTTTGGGGGGACAGGGAAGGAAGGAAGCAGAGAGAGGTATTTGGGGAGAAGGATAGTATGCAAGGCAGCAACCCAGGTGTGTGCCCGACCAAGAATCTAACTGTGACCTCCTGGTTCATAGGTCGACTCTTAACCACTGAGCCACACAGGCTGGGCTTTACAATGACTTTTTATAAATTCTGTGAAAAAATAGACTGTGAAATTTTGACTTGAACATCTAAATAAATCAAAATTTAGAGAATTAATAGTTTGATTTATTCTTAGAGGATAAAGATATCTTTCTGCTTAATTTTTACAAGAAAACATTATGCTTATACTTCCTTATTTTTCATAACTAAAAAAGGTCCACTTTGTTTGAAAAAAATATTTTTGTAAACTAAAAATAACTTTATAATAAAGAATAAAAAGCATTAATTTGAGCAAAAGAAGTTGCAGCTGGAGACACTGATTTAGGTAGTAACTTCAATTGTATTCCACCCAGAGAAGGGGGAGGTGTTCTTTTACATCCAAAGTTTTCATCCAATTAGGTCCATTTTATGTAAATGAGATAGTCAAATTAAACTTCTGATTTGTCCAAATCTCAAAATCCTTTTGGTTGGCACTATGCATTCTGATTGGTTATTATGGAGTAGTTCTGATTGGTCTTGGTAGGTCTTTGTCCATTGGTCCAAAGATAAAACTAGGAACTCCTTTTTAATTCAGTTCTGTAATGACCTATACTCAGTCTTTTATAGTTAGTCTGTTAGGAATTGTAAGAACTGAAATTTCTTTTTAGACAAACATTCTGTGAAATGATGGACCCTTTATGGTCTGTAAATTATTTTTTGGTGTGTCTGCCTCACTTAAGTAATAGGTAAGTGTAAATATAAAGGGAGATTTTTGACATTAATTAACCTATGTGCCACTGCTTTTCTTGGCAATTTTAGTGATTAAAAATATGTGAAAAAATAGCATCTGTAGGTATGATGGTGATTCTCCTTGATGATCAGTTATTCTTTTGTAGTTATTCTATATTGGTGTTTCATTTAGTATTATTTTTAAGATTCGTCTGCATTGATGCACATTATTTTGTGCAATAACTCCTGTGTAGTATTTTATTATAAGAAAAAAACAACAACTATTTTCCTACTAGGTTGTTGACACTTTTTCACTATTACAAATGAAAAGAGTTTATACTCTTAATGGCTTTAAAAGTTTACCAGGAGGACCAACCATTATTTTTTCTAATAAAAATAATAATGATTGGGTCATTCTGCTGCGTGTTTGCATTGTATAGGACACAACTTATGCCCTTTAAATGCATTAGCTCATTAATTCTCATAATATTCCTAGGCAGCAAGTCCTGTTTTTATTCTCCTTAATTAAATGAGGAAACCAGGCTCTGAGCTGTTAGGTAACTTGACCAAGATGACAAAAGCATAATAATAGGAAGGATGATGACTCCTGCTTTTCTGTATGGGTTTTTAAATTTCATAGATTAACCATGCTTTATATTTAAAATTTAAAAGCTATTTGCAGTTTTCAGGCTAACTGGTGGGAAAATAATAAGGCAGAAAGGAAGAAAGAACATGAGTTTTGTTCTCACCACAGACTTGACCTTGACTTCTGGCTTTGCCTCATACTAGCGGTGGGACTAGGCCAGGAGAGCCGCCTTTTTCATTATTGGGAGGATTAGGACACCAGATCCTACCTTATAGGGCTGTTGTGAGAATGAAATATGAGATGCAGATATATAAACCCCTAACATAATGCTTTGGGCATAATAGGTATTTGATTATAGAATAGCTTGTGATAATTTATTCACAATAATATAAATTGCTAATCACCAGTTTTCAAAACAACTTGTTTCCTATATTGAGTGAATCTTTCAGCTGCAATAGA